AACTTAATCTATGAATTGGACTTTGCCATATCACATGTATTAGTCCCGTGATCAGGGAGGGGGTGGAGGGGGGTTGAGAGACGACCCTCTCCCCTAGGCACATTTTCTGTCAACATCCTGCAATTTTTCACCACTTTAGTACTTTTCAAGTGATGTTCGGATGATGCTTTCATTTAATTGCTTGCACTGATGGTTTCTCTTGAAAATTCATGCACATAAGGTGATCTAGTATTTCAACACAGGACCCTGAAAGCGCTATTTGAGCTTGAAGTAGAAGTATTCATAGTATTACTGTTTGTATTATTAATCTCTACGATTTTTCAATGGGCTAACTCAGTCAGTGAAGGCAGGATTAAAACACAACACACATGAGTAATTCACCCACCTATGCATGTTATTATTGAAAAACATTGCCATCTTTTACATCACTCCTAAATTATTTTTGTAAACATGCATTTTAAGAGGTTCATTTTTTCAAAAAAAACTCAAAAACAAACTTCATGGAGTTCCTTACATATTTTACTTGATGAAACATGTGTTCAAGTACAATGTAACTTTGCATGAAAACTTGTAAAAAAAATGAGGGACGATAGTGAAAATGACGAATGTATATTGAAAAAGCTTGTTGATGGGTGGATTAAACATGGATTATAAGATAATCCAATTGATCTGGAAACTATTCTTTGAACTTTTCTTGAAGATTATAGATTCGCCTTTCCCAAGCATTTACTTTTTACAGCCAGAAACTACTCACAAAAAAATTATCAACTGTCAAAATTATCAAAAGTCTGTTGCGATACTTTCCCTGCTCCTTTTCGAAATTTGTTAGGGGAGAACCCCCCAGTTCTGGTCAGAATGCACCAAATGATGTTCAATTTTCGAAATTTTCTGGGGGGAGGAGAACTCAAACCTCCCATTCTCGCTCTGAAATTGGTCAGAATGCATCAAATTAAATGATATTAAATTTTCGAAATTTGCCAGGGGAGAACCTCCCAGACCCCCATTTCTCGCCCGAAATTGGTCAGAATGCACCAAAGACGTTCTTCCCCCAGACCGGGCCCCAGATCCCCCTTTCTCGCGCTTGTTCGCTGGGGGGGAGGGGGTACTGTCGGGGGTGGTTCAAGCCCCCCTTACAAAAAGCTGGCTACGGGCATGGACGCATCCCCCATGGGAAATTCCCTGTGGGTGCCAATGGGGTGCGCGTCCGAGGAGGGGCGTATAAAGTTCACGAACATCCTAAAAATTCAGAAGTATCATATGATAAATTAGATTTTTATCCTCCTCTCTTATCAGTTTTCTAATCCTAATTGATTAATTCGATTTTTGCTTTCCCCTCATCAGTTGTCTTCCCTAATAGTTATAAATATAAAAGGAGTTCTAATTTTGGTATGTTTTGGGAATTTGGTTTTGATGTTAACATGCAAGGGAATTATCTCCCACTCCCCCTTCTATTTTGTAGACAATATACAAGTTAAATAGCAGCGATTTATTCTGTGTTTGAATTCACTTTTACAGGATGTGTATTTTCAATTAGACTTGCTGATTGTTCGATCATTTAATTTATCTGAAGCCATTAGACAAAAAAATGTTTCAATTTTTAGAATATTTTTTGGCTTATATCATTTAAATACACAATTTCTTAGTGAGTTAGATCCAATGGCTTCCCAAATCAGATTTCTATTTATCATTCCTCTCTTGAAACGGTCCGATTTAATTCAGTGTCGGGCCGAGGGCAAACCTTTGAATGATGAATATATGTAACCGTTGATATTTTGAACGTACATGTATCAAGTTTAGATTCAAGGTACAAAATAACCAGTTAAGTTTTTTTCCAAGAGGTAGATAGGTTTGAGGGAAAAGAGTACTGTATATTCAAAATCCGGATCAAAACAACATTATTTTGTTATTTGTTGTCCAGTTCTACGTATTAATGCCGAAGTATTCGTCATCTGTTATTAAAGTTCAATGCGTTTCTGAATCCCTCTATTTCATATCATAAAAAACTGCACGTAATGTTGTTAGTCATTTAGGCCTATATTTCGTAATTTATTCTTTGAGGTCTATCCGTTACACTTAATTTCTCAGTTTCTAAACGTTTCATTCAATTTTGCTATAAAGGAGATTGAAGACTACAATTAAAGTGTATGTTTTACCAATCGTTTAACTTTTTTAAAAGTATTGGATTTTTGGGAGTTACGAGGTTCGGAGTAATAGCGTGTCGCTCCCCCTCCCGCCCCCACTCATTTTTATGTGTTAAACCTCATTTGATTTTTCATCAATTATCGTTAAATCACACTCTTTAATACATAAACAAATTCAAAATTATATATCTTGGAGAAATAAAATATATATTTCATAATGAAAATATTAATTTATGCAGTTGGTCAGTATTGAATATTAAGTTTCACAGTCTGAAACCTCAAGGGCGGGAAATTGGATTAAATAAAACGAAATATAAATACTTAGTCACATCATATCAGTGCAAACAATTAACTATATTTATTTTTCTATGCGATATACACCTGATATTGATATCTTTCCTCTGACAATGTGTTATCTCATGGTCCGTTGACATCATCAAACTTGTGATTAACCAAAAGAGACCAAAAAAGATTGTAATTATGACGTGCACGGACCTGGGGACAATTTGGGAAATACGGGCTAATCTCAGCTTTAAGCGTTAATATCTGCCTTATTTAAAAAGCTAACTATGTGCATTATATATCATTTTGGAGTATTTTTTATTCGCATTTCACTGAAATCATTTTTCCTTGAAAAGTTTGATGAGATATACCATATTTTTAAGGTTAAATGTACTCCGACATCGTCAAATACGCTGTAAGACGTAACATTCCATGCTTACACGGTTCGTTGAATTCGGGATAACTTTTGAAATACTGATCAGAATTTTACTAAAATTTCACATTTTATTCATTGAAACATGTGCTTTTATGACGTCACAATTGCCTAGCGGCTACAGTTCAAATCGTCTTATATGAACGCTTTTAAAATTTTCAAAATTGTGTAAGGTTTTGAAGGCGAAGGAGACAAGCAATAAGTTTACCTTTATTTAACCTTCTAATTTAGGTCTGATTTCAAAAAAAAATTAACTGCACAATATTGTCATGGCGAAATTTACAAAACAATAACCGATTTCTTTATTCTTCAAATAATAAGAAAATAAGAGTTGCTTTTAGACTTGAAAAAATGTAACGCATCGATGTTTTACCACAAATCCCATACATATCAATCTTTGCTAACGCCCCGAGTGGATTTCCTGACCGTTTTTCAAAAATCAAAAACATTTTAGAAATATTGCTTCGAGATCTTGTTTCTCTGTGAATTTTACCAGGATTGAATAAGAATAAAGCATCTTATTTCTAGGTTGACTAAAATTGACAAAATGTAACGCTTGTAGTTTTTGACATTATAATGCTGATTGCGCCCTATACTGCCCATTCAGATACATTGTATTGTTTGGTATTTTGACGCCATAATGTTACTCTAATTGTCCCCAGTTTCGTGCGACGTGTAAAAACGCATCGGTAAGTCAACAAATCTAACCATTAAATAAACAAACTTAGTTCTTCGTCTGCTGGCCAGAACTTGGTATCCGATTCGGATACCGACTTTCTGAGAATACTAATGATATGTAGGATCACCAGCCGTGATACTTTTCATAAAACAGGCATCTAGTTAGAAAATTATTGCAATTTTGATTAATATCGTCATTCACAGTATAACCCGCCTATGTAACCTAAACATATAAATACTAGTTGCCAGTCTACAAATTGAACATACAAAATGTAGCATATTCATTACACACTATATTAATAGAACAAGGTAATCATGTCATACCAATAGTTAGATGGTTAACTTAACACAAAAGAATAATACACGATAATTGAAAAAATAAACCTCGGTATTCGGGGCTAAAATCCAAGGATACCTGTACCATAACTCCAGTATACGCTGCAATACCATATCGGATACCTGTACCGTTACTCAATAATAACCACAACTACGACCATAATAACAAGGTCAATACCGAGTTTATTGCAAGTTATTTTATACGATTTTGTCTTGTGTTAATCCATGGATAATCCTTGAAAATTAGAAATAATTTTGGTGTAATTGGTGTAATCTTTAGTCAATAAAACATTCGAAAGTGTATTACTGTTAAGATAACTGTAATATACTATTACTGTTATGAATAACTGTTCTTTTAGATGTTCCCAAGAAGGATTGGCTCCCGAAAGTAATCTCGATACAGTATTTTCCAACAATGAAAATGTCAGAATGTTGTTATTGTCTGACAATTGCAATATTGCTATTTTGTGACTCCAAAGAAATTGGTGATGAACTTTTCGAATGCAACAATGAAAAACTTATAAATATACGTAGACTTCATTGTTAAAGAACAATTAAATAACAAACAGCTATTTATTTATTTACTTATGAGCCACGAGAATGAAGTAATGAACCCATGGGGTGAATTCTTAAACAAAATGAACCTTACTGTTGACACTCATAACATTCTTTCCCATTGTTTTGTAATGATCTTTGTTCTTATTCCCCATTTGGCTTATGTTCTAAAAGTAACAAGACTGGTACTGGTATTTTGTTATCATGATAATATACTTCCATATAATGAAACTAAAAGTGAAAATACTTTTTAAAATATTTTTGAATAAAGTTATTGGGTTGTGCCCCTCAAAACCTTTCTTAACTTATGTTCATATACATACTTGTATGTATTCTTATTCATGTAATGTAACAATTGGGTGAGTTTCACATACTGCAACATGTGAAGTAAATATTTTTTAATCACATGAGTTGTTTTTTACAGGTCATGAAAGATGGGTAATAGCATTGACCAATGGCGGTGTGCTATTGGAACATTCCATCCATGCAGTCAACCACTCAGCAATGAGACAAACAGAAGGACAAATGTGAATGATAGTGATGAAACGGCTACACTCAAACCAAAGGAATCGATGCACAACAATGATATAACAGTTCAAAATGAGAAAAACCAAGGACCGACCTTTACAGTTGAAAAATATTTAGATCAAAATAACTCACTGAATCACAATGGAGGTAGAGTGCAAGAAGGGGGTTGTTCCGATCGTAAAGTTAAGAGCCCAGATGAGCCAGAGAATAACAAGGGCGAAGACGGCATGAAAGTACTGGTGAACCAGCAATGGGTCAAGACATTACGGACACTGCCCCAGCTGTTGGTGATTATCATTCTCCTACTGATGATTGGTGGGGTGGAGACCAACCCTGGGCCTCAAACAAATGCTAATTTAGGTAAAAACAATTAACTAAGCAGTAAATGAGCCAGGGCACAGGAAAAGGGGTCTTATCACAGATTTTTGCAATATTTTGATTTTTGTTTATCTTAAAAGCACAAAGAGACCTTTCAAATGAGCCAGGGCTTATATCTTAACAGTTTTATCTAGCAGATATAGACCAAAAAGATGGATTTGAATTTAGCATATTTTCTACTTTATCATGGGCACATTTTTGGCTCTGGAGCACAATTTTTGTGATAACACCGGTTATCCTGTGTTGAGGCTCAAATTACAACTAGAAAACAGCAACTCCACCTAGTTTTTGGTTTAAAGGTTTTTTATTATCATATAAATCAAAACAATTTCAACTACACAGTAAGGGCCAGAGCAATGCATTATTCCCCCTGGTTATCAAGAATAATGTAAATGATAAAGTTGCAATGAGACTTATGAATTAACTCAGGCTTGCAAAACAGTAAAAACTTACTCATTTAAAATTGAAACAATTAACTGCAGAAAACCTGCACTCATTTTAACAATTTTCTGATTTGTCAGACATGATAAAGAGGAATCACCATACAACAAATAATTTACCCTGACCAGGCCCATAGCCAGGATTTGCCAAGGGGGTTCACTTTTTGAAAAATTCCAGAGGGTTCACTTTTAACAACTCTGGCCCAAAAAGGGTCAAAATCACTTTGAAAAGTGCTCAGAATGTTGAATGAAGGACCCACAGTCCTGTGCTCACACAGTTTGGAACCTTCAGAGGAATGTATATCCTGACTTTCAAACAAAAATATTGATTTGGATTTGTAGTCTCGAACTTTGAGAAACTTAGATAGCACAGTTGTGTGACCTAGTTTGATGACCTTTGACCTTGAAAATTTTACTTATTCAGAGCTCAGTTTATCGCATCCTACGACCCCTTTAGATTGTGGTCGTAGGCCCGTTTCATTCGTAAGCCTGTCTTTCTACAATGTCGGAGAATGAACTACGCATTGCGCTATTAAATGACCTACCTCGATACATTCCAGAGTATTCTAAAATTCTTTTTATGTTGTTAGATCGCCAATTGTATGGGTTTATCGTCAGAACGAAGAGATTTTAGTTTTTACATCGGAAATATCTCAGCAATTTTTCAAAATTTCGGAAGGGGAATTCCCCAGGGATTTCCCTTATGACTGGTGCATGCCGGGAACTGAATGGAGGAATTTGACGGTTGAACCTACATGCAAATATTGGTATCAAAAACGAAAATATCTTCGTTCTGGCGATAAACCCATACAATTTGCGATTCAACTATATGAAAAGAATTCTAAAATACTCAAGAATGTATCGAGGTAGGTAATTAATGTGTGCAATGCATAGTTCATTCTCCGACAGTGTAGAAACACAGGCTTACTAATGAATCGGGCCTACGACCACAATCTAAAGGGGTCGTAGGATGCGATAAAGCTCAGTAAGATCTTTGTGATTAAGCTGACCAACATTTACATCCAAAAATCAATTTGAAAAATCAACTTTTTTGACCTTTCGAAGGTCACTGAAGGTCAACTAAAGGTCAAATCCTAAAACTAATGTCCTGGCAACTTGTAGATGATTTTCAAAAAAACATTTGGTCAAATTGAAGCAAGTTGAAAAATAACTGTTTTTTTACGTCAAATATCTCAAAAACGGTAAAAATTTGATGCTGACATATATTGAGCAATATGTAGGGAATGCTTAAATCTAGTAATGATGTAATTCATTGCAAGAAATGATCAAGTAAAAGGCAAACTTTGAGAAACTTGTCAATCACAAAACTTGCCATTGACTTTATACATGAGAAAGTTTCCTGAAAATGACTAAGTCCTACTTTTTGTCAAATTTAACACCAAAAAACTGTAATTCCAAGAGCTTTGAAATCTTCAGAGGACATAAGTTGCATATACAGCAACTACTAAAAGTTATTTGAAAGTTCTTCTTCAACAAAGTGTCTAGTATTTACAGAAAATTTGACTTTTTGACGTCAAAATCCGCAATTTCTCGGAAACCAGGCGAACTTGGGAAATGGCGATTATAGGTCAAATAGGCATTATGGATATGCATAAAATGAATGTGGATATGACTCAATCCGAATAGCAGTTTTAATTTGTGCGGCCAATGTTGATGGACGGACGGACCAACGGACGGACAGACGCCTGGTCGATCCCATAGGCTCACTGTGTGAGCCAAAAACTGCATCATTTTGAAAGAATTTTTGGCCCGAGCCCCCCCCCCCCCCCTGGCTACGGGCCTGCTGTCTTGATGTCTGAGTTGACCAAATAAGGTTATATCAAAGGATGGCAGTTCCCCAAGTTCTTCCAAAAACAAGTTTCACTGAAGAATGAGGGCAGTGTAATAATAGATGCATTGTAGACTGAGATCTAAAGCCACAATTACAGTTTATCAATGTTACTAAAACTTATGTTTAAAACAACCTAGTGACAAATCCCATCGAGCAAAACATATTTTCCTAAATACCTCGTCATTTTGGAAGCTACATGATATGAACTAGAAAACTCCACGGAGTAGCATAATCCTACCGAACAAAACATGTTTTGATAAATAGTGGCCATCTTGAAAATTTCTTCTTGAACAGAGCTCCCTTGTCCCTAGTCACGATGCCCATGTCAAGCAGCGTGCCTACTAGGCACGCAGTTTGAAACTCTGACAAACTGCATGCATATTTCAAAATGGAAAACGGGGAGGACACGACTCTCAAAAAGAGCCAAAATACGAAAAATACAAGGTTAGTCTCGTTCTAAAGATAGTACCATTCTGTGAAGATGAACTTAATTTACTCATAGTACTCAATGCTGTTCCCGATGTAAACCTAGTTATCTCAATATAAGGGTCTTAAGTAACTTCTGTGTTCAAAATTTACAGTGTAAAGTTATATCTATGTCTTTTTATCGTCATTTGCCATTTATTCAGCCATTGTGTCTGTGTATGCTAGAATATATAGGATCACTCCATCTGATTATTTAGCAGCAAAGTTTGTGTTCAAAACGATAATTCGCCATAAACGTGATTTAAACATTTTCTTGTCAAACTGCGCACCTATATTCACATGTATTTCCCAAACTGCATGCCTAATATTTCCAAACTGTTTGCCTATCCAAGCTTGTTTTGTATTATTAGAAAATGTAAGGGCCATATGTAAGGCACATATGTGTCTAATAGTAGAACCCCATAATTGAAACACTGTGAGAGTCCATCCACCAAGATGGTGATCTGAAAATAAAAGTTTTTTTCGTTCCCAACTTAATTGTCACTTCTATTATACATTTTGACTTTCAATATGAAAATCTCATAAAATCTGACGATAAAGCAAAATTTCCAAAGCTATATGAAAAACACCTACACGTGCCTCTGTTTTATCTCGAAATATTTTGAATTAAACATGATAAATGCGTAAGGAATTAAATATAAAACGAGAGTCTAAAGTATTTGTCATTAATGTTTAAAGTGCTAGATCGATTTACGCATAAATTCCCGTTAAATCAGTGACGAAAATGCCATTAAGCTGCTTATGTTTTAAAACTTAGATTCATTTGCACATAGTTTTTGCTAGTATTTGCAAGATTCCTATATTCGCCACAGAATGAAAGCATTGAACAAGAAAACAATGCAGGATAAATGTCTTTAAATTACGTTTCAAAATGCAGACTCCAACTTAAATGATGCAATGTTGTTAGGCACGCAGTTTGTGATCGAAACAAACTGCGCGCCTACTTAGGCGCGTAGCTTGACATGGGCACCGTGCTAGTTATCAGTAGAGGTGTCAGGGTCAAAAAAATTTCGGGACAGGACGGAATGGTACTAATGGTCTCAGGACACAGTACTTTTGGGACGGGACGGAACATTAATGAAAAATAAATGCAAGGGTATGATGATGGCAGTTTCACTTTCAGTTTCACTTTTCAGAATCATATTCAGAAATAAAAACATCAATTAAAATCTAATAAAACACACCCGACCTGCCGCAAATGTGATTGGCCCAAAATACTTCCAAACTGTCGACTTTTTTTTACATCTACCTGAAATAGCGGGTCCGTTAATAACACTTTTCAATGCAAAGAAGTGTAATCGAGGTAAGAGATAAGTGAAAATATTTAATTTTTCTGAATGAAATCAGAGGTGTTCCTTGCTATTTATGCACGTTGTCATTTTTTATGCATTTTAGGTAAGGAATTTATGTACCGATATTAACCCTTTCTGTCCTGTGTCCCCATTTGATGCATCTGGACCGAAGTTCGGTCCAATATCAGGAAACCGTGACACCTCTAGGTATTTGAGTTACCAAAGATTATATTTTTTACAAAAAATGGCATCCATTTTGAAATTCAGCTTTCACCTTGAAAGTTTATTCTAGAGCAGAGAGTTCTTTTATCTCTAGGCATCAGCATATAAAAATTTTATAGCATTTTAAGCGACTGAATAATGATTCACATGTCTTAAAACATGGATAGCGAGACCATACACTATAAACATTTTGCATTGTAGATAATAAATGAAATTCTATAAAACATCAGAAAAAAAATTCTGGTAGTAAATAACAGAAAAAATCAACAGTGGAACCATTTTATTTTTTTAATGTTATTTAGGGGTCCGTTAACTATTGTTTAAAACAATATGTCAGTGTAGTTTTTTCCTCATGAAAATAAAAAGTCAATTAAAATTTGATATGGCGTCAATTGTACTGCCAAACTTGGGTAAGGGGTCACAACACTATACCTATGCTGTTCTTACCATGCTTTATTAACACTCATGAAAAAATTGACATCTTAACACTTCAGCTAATCAAATGCCGTATATTAAATACAATCTTGGTGACCATGTAACAATTTTCTTATCAAGCATTGCTAAATTAGGAACGTGTCGCTTTAAAAGCAAGCTTATTCTAGGGAAACGGGAAAATTGAGGTGTTTTTTCCCATGACGTCATACACATCTTTCAGACGATGAAGTGAAATATTTTTACTGTGAACATTCA